TTCTGCTAGACTCTATCTTGAGCCTAGTGATATAAAGATAGAGCAATAACAATATGCTATATTGATAACTTATATATCGCATCTATATTAAAAAAAAACTTCCTGAAAAATAAATTTTTCATAAAATTAATATTGTTAAATTGACTACTACAAAATTATACGAGTTATGTACATTAACATTTTAGTTGACTAAATTAAATTTAAATTTTAGCATTTCTATAACCTTTCATATTGATCGATAATATGAGCAGAATCTGATAAATTATTGTTAAATTAATATCAATATTGACCCTTAATTTTTTAGATCATTATAAATCATTAGAAATTATAATTGATATTAACATAAATTATATTTAAAACATGTACTTAGTACAAAACATTATGAAAGAACTTATACAAATACTTCATACTCACTAAAATAATCTACCAAATGCATCTTTAAATAACCAAAATTGAATATGAATTTTTTTTCAAATTCTGGATACAGGTGTATAAAATTCTAATAAATTCAATAAAGAAACTCTAATGTAACAGGTTGACAAACTCTACTCATTATATTCTTAACCAAAATAAAGTTTTTGACTTTCATTGTTTACTAGAATTCAAAAATTTAATATATCAGCAAATATTAATAATTTAAAAGTATTAAAGAATTAAATATACCTTTGTTTAATTTTGATTATTTCCAAACACTTGACAACAGAACAATACCCAATTCCAAATCCATACCCTTGGTTAAAAAAAATTGACCAGTTGTTATACATCCAATTATGTTATCTATACATGAAATATCTATAAATAGTATAAATATATTACAAAAGTTTAAAACCAAAGAAACACAGATCCTCAAATAAGTGCATATACATTATTGTCAATTTCATTAGTTAAAAGATCCTATTGCTATCACTCTTTTTTATTTTTTTCTCCTACTTTTGATAATTATCTTTTTTTTCAATCTTGTAAATAATAGTATTCTATTTTAAACATCCTCTTGCCAATAAATTTATTCTAATATTCACCAATGCTTGTTCAAGATTCCAGTAATCACTATATTCAGACAATAAGAGAACCCACATTTACTAACCCTAATTTGTGACTGTAATTTTACCAAAAACTCTTTAACATTATCAGGACATGTAGGAAAATAATACGTTTCAAGGAGTTTGATATTTTTTGCACCTCGAAATAACCATAGTTTCTGTTCAACAAGTGGTTTAATGCTAATTCGTGGTGTGTCCTTTTTTTTACTATTTTGTGTGCTTGGTTGTTGCTTATCATCAGTTATGCTTTCTTCCTCATCATTCTTCACTTCCTTTAACAATTGGGACTGTATTTGACATTTTTAAGTCATAATAGGTAATTATGTCATAATTGCATATTGATAACCCAATTTATTAAATCATCTGAATATCGTAAAACGTTAAAATACACAGCTTCTTGCTTATATTTCTCACAGTCATAATAATTCGGTAATTATGTCATAATTGCATAGCGATAACCCAATTTATCAAATCACCTGAATATCGTATCTCGTAACGGCTTAAATTATACTGATAGCTATAGCAACTGTTTTCTATTGATTAATACGTAGAACAATTTGTACTTTTTCTGTAAAACGAATTTCTATACAGGAACAATTTTAGAATATTGTGCAACTGCCATTGAAATAAAATTGTCATCATGTTTGTTTCATTGTTGTGTACCGCTTATTATTTTTTTTTTAAATCGAAATGGAACAAATTATTAACGATTTTAAACAACTAGATTTTAATGAGTG